AACCGAATAAGAACTCGCGTGTCAATAATTGAACTAGGTCAAACCGAAGAAGGGGGGGGGGAGAACACTCGAGAATTGTCAATTCTGACGAGAAGCACGCAAATGAGAAGTATGGAATGAATTCGTTCGGGGAATAATCCTGGAAGGAACGAGTAATTAGGAATCGAGTCACGCCCAGATCACGGACTGTTATCTCCCAGGCATGGATGGCCATTGTGCCGAAAGCGAGAAAAGGGAGCAACAAATTTCTATGCTAAATTTATTAATGAAGGTTTGGGATCGATTACTGCTTGATTCATAGTTCCAAATAATAATTTCTGGTCAACAGTAGGAATAGCATTAGGAAGAATACTTACAAAGATTTACAAAAAAGAAAATCGCAATTGGTTCAACCCAGTCTGGTTTAAACAATCAATATCATCAACAGTGCCTGGTGCCTATGAAAAAAAACCGAATGGGCTAATCCAAACATTCACCATCTAAATTAATTGAGCCATTCGCAAAAGGTGACCGTCGACCGTGGAGCTCAAGATTAAGAGTTTGAAGTCCCGAAGGATCGCGGTTAAAGTCCTGATAGGAACACAAAAAAGTACGCACTGCTGACGAGTCCCAAACACGACGAAACAGCTGTCCAGTACTCTTTGTAGATTACTACAAACATCTCCGTCGCATTAAAATACATACAAACAGTGGGGAAGGAATGAAAGGATTGAAACCCACATCCAACATCATCAACAGTGCCTGGTGCTTGTGAAAAAACCGAATGGGCTAATCCAAACATTTACCATCTAAAAACGATTTGTAGCCCGTTTTCTCACACTTTTACAAAAAGGAAAATCAAAGTTGGTTCAACTTAGTCTAGTTTAAGCAATCACTAATCATGCCTTTTCCTGCGGTGGTTTTGATTTCCGTCTTCGGGTTACCCATTTGGATGAAAGTGTGGAGGGAAGATTGGGATGTTCAAAACAGCGCAAAGATGGAAATATCCAGTTCATGAAGACTAATTTAACAACGATATTGAGTAAGTGCATGATTGACACTGTTTACAGCCCTCGAATATATCGCTCAATGTTTCTAACCATCGATTACAATGATCCTGAGGTCCCCATCCAGGAAGCCTAACCCGACCGGGTCTTCGTATGACTACTCATTACTCTTTTCCATCCATCACCTGCATTGGAAAACAACATATATTGTGGAAATATAATTGGTGATATGTGTAACACACCCCAACCAACGCAATCGATGGAAGTTTACCACTTGTTCCAGTAGGTGACCTCGACTACCTAAAACTCTGAGCCTAACCTTAGCATTGCTCGTCTGGTTGCGCCGCATAGCCACACCGGCTGGATCGCTACATGATATGCTCGACCTTTTACCCATTTGGACAGATGTATGAATGTCAAAAAAGAAATATTCTATATTACAGAACGAATTTGGTCGTATAGTGAGCAAGGGAAGAGTGAACTGGAAAACTGGGAAGCAAGGACTTCATCGGCAGTGCGAATTTATCGACCCACGCGAGGATCAAACTCACAGATAGAAAGCATGCATACCCCTCATTTGACTATAGGATAGCTAATCAAGTAGTTTTTTATTGTCCACAGACGACATAGAACATCTCATTTGGGCCAGCGTGTGACGAACACCTAAACTAAGCCTACCTTTGGGGGTTTAATGACGCGGTCACGACTGTTTATTTGGTGCGGTATGCTACAAATTATTCACAACTAACCTTCTTCGGTGAAGGTATTCCCCTATCCACAACCCGGGCACACGCCTGGTAGCATTCAGCTCTGTTTAATCCGAGGGTATCCAGATAATGACCAATGCTCGTAAAATGGATATCAATGCGGAGCGGTCACTCACGATCCGACAAGGATGAAGTGAATCATGGATGAATAGACGCTATGGATAATGGAGACAATCAAATGCTTTATAGGTTATATCATTTCATGTATCAAGGTGAACGTTGTTCTTTCTTTCGATCATATGACGAACACATTCGTTCGTAACATTGATCAACGACACTATTGGTTCAGTGCCGGATAATGATAATGATGATGCTGACGACAACGATGATGATGATGATGAAGCCATCTTTATGCTTACCACCACCGGATACCGCTACTCTTGAACACCAAGAACTCTTCACTCTTACAGTATATTTAACTTGGTCCAATACCACAATTTTCCTTTTGGATTGGCATGTAATTTCTAAGTCTGTTCAAGATTTTTAGATGACCGTTTCCCATGACCGCACAGTTAGTCTGGAAGATGATGAAGTTGCTTCAAACCCACTGGTAGTTTTGACGGTATGCTAACGAATTACAGTGCAAAGCATACAATAACTGGAAAAAATAAACCAGCGAAGTGGAAAACCTAGGTAACATTGATATTACTCGTACATCAAGCGTGACGGAATGAAGTAGCAATAGAAAACTTGTAGTCATAATAAAGTTCAAATGAGCATCCAGCCGTTTACTGTGAACTTGACCGTAAGAAGCCAAAACTGCGTGATGCGAACTCAGTTACAAGTGGTCGGACCGAACTGCTACCGCTTCTAAACACAAAAAATCAAGGCAGCCTTCGATTCGTCTCATCCCCTTTTCTGAAAATTGACTGTACTACAGCGTGTCAAGAGTAAACACAGCATTATTGCACTTCGTAAAAATACTAAAGGATTTATGAGATACCAAATTTTCAGTTCTCGGTTCACTCAGGATGTTTTTTTATACTTCCGTATTAGTTTGAATACTGGATGTGGGGGGGAACTTGTGCTTTGTGGCGCAAATGCGGTCATGGGAACCCAGGAAACTTGTATTAATACATTGCTACTATCACAGAGGAATGGCTCATACTGGTAACTTGGTCCCCTTCATTTAATTCGCCGACTGGACTTCATAATGTATCGGAAAAATAGAAAAAGAAATCCACTGGCATAACTTGTTCACGCCTATTCCAGCAACAAACAGCTCACCTATAGCCCATCTGAATTTACTCCTTGGATGCATTGAGAAAAGAAATAGATGAAACCCATCGGAAACAGTTTCAGACTGAGCGTAGTTAAGAACTCATTATGCCCATGTCACAGCACATCCGGATGCATTCTATTATTTTTTTCCAAATTTCTGCCAAACGGCCTGCTGAATCACATCATCAGTAGTTCGTACACATGCTGTTCTTATCCAATGAAAATTTCACAATGTGAATAACGACACAGTTGTGTTTCAAGAGTTCAAAGAATAAAGCTTTAATTAAAGGTTCCGGGGTGTAAGAATGGAAGAAAAACTAGCGTCGAACCAACGCACGTGGTCATCTGTGTTGTTCACAGAGATGACCGGTCCTCAGGTTGGAGATAACTACGTTGAAAATAAGTTATAGATCACCAGTTATCAAACTGAAAACAAGTCTGTTTTGCTCATCTTTATTCACAGTCTTTGATTAAACTCATCGTGTTAAGGCAAATTTATTATTGCTTGGATGCAAATGGACTGGAAAGAACGAATAAGAGCAAAGCAATTAAATTGAATAGTTTCGGAAATCGTCCGCGAGCATTCACCGACATCGGGACCTGCATACTGTCTTCTTTGCTGAGGTAATAATCAAGCCTCTTACGCAACATAAATTTCTGCTTGGATTGTACAAAAGTACTTTCAACAAATGAATTGACTGAGACTGGGAACACCGTCATAGCTCAATCGGCTGTAGTAGTGTTCTTTTTTCCAACAGCTGTTTCCGAGAGTGCCGTTTGCATAACGGGCCATCCTCAATAGACTTCGGTACAATGATAACCATACACTTCCAAAAAAGTCGAACAAATGACGGTCATTGATAACCAAATTAACATTTTAACTTACCTCGACAAATTTCCACGATTCAACCGGCCGGCGAATTTGATATCGAAATCCACCCGCATGCACATATGAAACCGGTGTGGAAATGAACCCACTGGCGTGTGGTTCCGTGATTGTGCTATCCTTCTCGGTGGTGACTACGTCTGCCGATTGAACGGTGGTATTCTCCTTATGTGCCATCATCATCATTGTGACCGAGGAGGAACGGAGCGCTTGAGTGAGATAAGCCGATTGTGTGATACCGACGTAGGTATTTGCAAGCTTCGCATTCCGATCGGTGTCGGTAACTCGATGCTGCTTCTCCACCAAAGGTATTCTTGTGGCCAGATCGGTCATGAGAGAGGTGGCTCAAAATTCCCAGTGTGGAATAGTGGAACTCAACTGAAGCCACAGAATTATCCACCTCACGGTCTCACTCCACGTTCGGTTGGTGCGTACGTGTGTGCGCGGCAGTCTGTGTGTGTGTTTGTGGGTGGGTGTCTACAGGGAGAGGAACTAAGTCGTCCCTTCGGATGCGCGTGCCTCTTGTCTCACATTGTACCACCGGGCATTGGAGTTCCATGTTCACCCGGCCGGCTACACCCCCTTCCGCTTTAAACACACGCACACATCTGTGGTTCATTTGTCCTCTGAGCTGCGTCCTGCTCTCGGGCTCGTCTGAATGAGATCTTATCATATGTGCCACCGCACATGAAACGAGTGCGTGCGCGCGCGAGCACACACACACACACACACACCACATGGAGCTTCCACCAAATGAGTTGGCCTGTCCGTGAGTCTACTGCCGTGGCAGCGTTTGCTGAGCGGTTATTCATTGTCTTCCTCAGGTCCACCTGGATCAAGCATAGATGCTGCTAAGTTTCAGTGTGGAAAAAGGGGTTTTGTGGGTTTGTCTTCACTCTGGGCAATCCAGCAGTCAGTTTTAGTGCTATCGATTTTTCTGTCTCCAGACCGGATCATCTGAATCACAGTGACGCACAGGTGCCGATGCCCTGCTGATGTGACTCGCAGATCTAAATACAGGAAATTAGGTGTTTGTATGTTTATGGCGTGTTTATGGAAATCTAGCCATATCAGCGAGTTCTTTATTCTTATCTTGCCGAAATTAAAAGCTTGTCGACTATCATAAGCGGGCACAGGATTTATGTAACGTACTTCCAAAAAACAATATAGATTAATTGAAAGAGAAGAAATTGGATAGCAGTAGCAGGAATTTGTCTTTTTACACTTTGGTTCTGAATTTTTAAATTTCTAACTCTTGCGGGAATATTACGGTAC